GAAGCCTGAGGCAGAGTTGCTCTGCCCCGGGCTTCCTGGAATCAGCTGCTGATCAGTTTCAGCAGCAGCTGACTTGGGGACGCTTGGGGTTCTTAAGTTGATTCTGTATGTAAGTCGGAACTGGTGGTCAGTTTCAGCAGCGGCTGAATCTGGACGCCAGTTCCGACTTACATACAGATTCAACTTAAGAACAAACCTACAGTCCCTATCTTGTACGTAACCCGGGGACTGCCAGTATATTCTAATACCCTCAGTCTGCTGCAAGATCTAAATATACTTACTGTGAGGATTGTTGGGTCATTTGCCATGGTACAAATTGCTTTTAAAAAGTGATGTAGGGAGTGGACAAGACTTCTTCATGCACTTGTTGATATTCCCCCTCCCACTTAACCACAGGAGAAGCATGAGGGGACTTCTGAAGACTAATTTTGTTTGTAAGGCCTTAGAAGCAGGGCCCTGGGTTTTGTGTTTATACAACTATGTGTGTATCTCTGGCAAAGTACAAGTATCACCCTACTATGCCAGACCAGATTCTTCTCTGACTTGAACACAGTAAAATCCCAATAATTTCCATTTAATCTGGATTAATAATTTTGAATCTTTCACTTTTTTGGAGTGGGTATGGGGGGAATTAGTTGTTCTGCTATGTTCCTTTCCTTCTGTATGCAATTAATCTTACACTCAGTGAACAAACTTTCCTCTACCCCACTGATTTCTGTTTGACTCAGTTTACACACTTTACAAATCTGTCATCAGTGCAAGTTGGATTAGTTTACTACTGGCACCCTTTTTTCTGACTAATTGACAGCACTATATCAGTCTCCATAAACTTTTTCCTTGCAGAGGTAAATTTGTTCAATTTCACTGAAAAATTCCCAGGCCATGTACTGTTTTGTTACTCTAGCACACATCAGTGAAATCTGAAGCTCATTATTATAACTTAAAACAAAAGGCAACCCTATATCTATAGCTAAGGGTGTTATGATGACTAGATAACTTTTTTCCTCGCTTTTGAGACAGTAAAGTGCTATATGTGCTAAGTATGGATATCTAATGCATGTTTAATAATAAAACATAGGCTTTATGAATGATGCTCTTGATCCTGTGAGGTGCTGAGCTCTGTCTCTGAGGCCCTTAAAGCTTATTCTGAAGTCATTGGGACTAACTTGTAGGATCAAGCCTTATAGAAGAGAAAACATACCGAATTATGTAAAAAAAGTGCATGATTTTTCAACTTGTTTCTTTGGTCAGACAAGAAGTATAGGAGCTAGCACTACATGAGAGGTTTATTTGAAAATATGCTGCTTCTCTTATGCCAGAAGTGCACTATCCAGTCTTGTTTTCCTTAAACTAAAGTTACTGTTCTGTCAATTTTTTTTCTTTAATTTTACAAAAGCCAGTTCATAGGCGGTTTCAGTTTCTCATGTGTTTTCCAAATTGTGTCCTCCCCCCCCCCACAGCAATCTTACGGTGATATGGGCAGGCCTATCTGGCTTCAAGTAGCAGAGTCTGCTTACAGGTTCACTTTGGGCTCAATTGCTGGAGGTGAGTGACATGTCTGTGTACTATTTTCAAGGCTGGGTTAATGTAATATTATCTCACCAGACTAATGGAGATCATCTAAGATGCAGTTCATTGATTGAAAGGGTAAGAACTGGAGGGCTCAGTGAAGTGCTCTTTATTTTTACCTGTGATCAGAAGACTTGGCAGAACATTGCTGTGGTACCTCTGGCTCCAGACAGTCTTCAGGGCAAAATGTTCATAATGACAGGCTTTCTGGATGCAGCATTGTACTGCCATTGATTATATTTGAGGGGTATGCTACGAAAAATAAAAACAGAGAGGGACAATACTGAGGATTTTGCGCCTATGTCTGTCTACATAATTATAAACAAACTTTTTTATTTTGTTAAGGTTTGTCAGTTTTCCCCCTTAAATGTAGTTTTGGGACATTTTAACACACCCTTTTAAAAAAATGAAATCCATGATCTAATGGCATCACAAGATTTTGTCCTTGAGTTTTTGTAGTAGCTTTTGAAGGCTATTTGTTAATTTCACTGATTTTTTTTTTTTTTTTTTTTTTTTTTTGCTTAAGACATATTGTATGTTAGGGGTGAAGTGCAACCATGTCCACTCCCACGCTGCCTGAGTAAATGATCAGTGTGCAGAGAACTATTCCAAGATTGAGAGGGCTATAATCCATTACACAGCCTGTAGGAAGAATGCAGAGAGCAGCAGAACAGGTGAAGCTGCACTGCATTCGGAGCCTTCTGCAGTCCTTACAATCTTTGGTAAATTTCAGACAAGGAGAACAGATTATGTTACTTAGTCACATTTTTGTGATGCTCATTACTGTAATAACTGAGCACCTCACAAATACGAAGATTTATTCTTGCAATATCCTTGTGAGGTTGGGAAGTATCCTCTCCATTTTACAGATGGGGAACTGAGGCATAGGGATTACGCTGCTGATCCGGCAAAGACTGGCACATGCTCACTGTTACACAATGTGAGTAGTCTCATTAACTTCAGTTGGTACTATTCACACTGCATACAGCATTATTATGTGGCATCTCTCCATTATTGGAGGATTGCAACCTTAGTAGCCTGCTCTATACCATCCTCTGCTAATCTCTGTGTGGTTTGAATAATTCTTTTGATCCACCAAGGATGCCACATTGTCCATCCAAGATTTCTTTTACTGCCTCATGTTCTGCCATCAACTTTCCCTTCCAGTGCCGTAAATGTGCGTTACCCTCTGAACTTCATGTTTTGAGTTATGGCGGTAGAAAACTAGTACTTTTCTTAACAATCAAGTGTCAGGTACACATCTGTGTTGCTGTGGAAATAATATTTTGTGATTTTTGTTTATAGCTGTAGGTGCCACTGCTGTATATCCCATAGACCTGGTGAAGACACGAATGCAGAATCAGCGCTCCTCTGGTTCAGTTGTGGGAGAATTGATGTATAAAAACAGCTTTGACTGTTTTAAAAAAGTTTTACGTTATGAAGGCTTTTTTGGTCTTTACAGAGGTAAGTGAATAAATCACAGGTATTTTGATTTTCTTCATCAAATAAATCAACAGCTGACCTGTTATTGGAATACCAAAAAAACCTTGATAATCAGAAAAATTCTGCTTATAGTTCATTTGGCTAAACTGAATATTTATCTTCTCTTGATCAGTAGCATTATAAACACTTGCTTGGAAAAATAGGATCTTTGTTTCTCTGGTACTATTTACATTGTTTGAAGTCCTAATTTTCTGGGGCATTCTGGGTGCTGTGGACTTGATTGTTATCTTGAAACAAAGGATTGTGACTGTAGGTGGGAGAGAGAGCAGGAGCAGATGAGTGGCTGAGGAGCAAAGATCCTATTTTAATGCAAATATTTAGAGAAGGATGAGAAATGCATAATACAAGACAGAAACAGAATCATTTTGAAATATGTCTGAACTAAGGGTCAAATCCTGCTCATCATACTCAAGAAAGTAGTCCCATGCTTTCAATGGTTCTGTTCACATGATTGATAAATGGAGTTTGCTCCATGAATTGTAAATGTTTCTTCAGGAAAAACTAAACATTTTCTAGGTGTAGCCTCCTTGTTTTTTGCTGCTCCCTACTATTGTACTTGTTCTAAAATACAAAAAACATGTCTCATCTTGTGAAATTGATTACCAGAATAATGTCGATTCTAAAGTTTAGGTTGAGATATTAACACTGCTTTTTATCAATCAGTAGCTTCCTTGTACTGATAGGTGGCCCATCTCCTATTTTTAGCTCTAGGATATTTCATAGGAATTATACTATTCTGAAATCTTTGAGTACTTATACTCACAAAAACTTCTCCAGCTACCATAGGAGTTCTTCTTAAATTGGTTCTTTTCCTTGGGATGAAGTCCCTCATCTCCTGGAAATTCCCTATCTGGGTTGTCTGCATTGTGCTATGTCCATGGAGGCATCGGTAATCTTCCAGTTTATTTAAGGGATAACCCCTGATTAGTTTTTATACTAGGGAATCCAGTTATAACTAGATTGCTCTTACTAAAGAGTTTTAATAATAATCTCATTATTGTGGTAAATAGTTAATGTTTGTCTTTTACACTGTCTTTCTGGAGGCTGACAATGAAAGTGAACATAAAGGAAGGGTTATATTTGGGATGACATAGGGTAGCACAGCTTTTGTTATGGTTCTTGCTAGTAGTTTATATTACTGGTAAATAGATTAGTTTTTCCTTGTTGCTAATTGTTTAACAACAATTTTACTTCTTAATTCATAATTTTAAGAATTTCACCTGAAACCCCATCGCTTCTCCTCCTCTCTAAAATAAACAGTGATCAAAATATTTTAGATCTGTTTTATAGTTGTTCTGTTGTTTAGATTGTATGATCTTATATAGTATTTTTGCGTCCTTGAAAAATCTTAAATCTGTAGAGTCTCTGATGTATAGTTCATATTCATTATTTTCACAACAGTGCCAGACTATCATAATTTAAAGTACATAGATACAGAAGTACAGAAACATTTATATTGCACTCACAGAAGAGATGCCCAGGGCATCTGTAGATGGATTCTTATATCTATAAGTGTGTTCATTTAAATCGTAGTCAGAAAAATCAGGACACTGCAGATGTGACGTGTGTGTTTTTACTACATAAATTACATAGACATAAAGTAATTCCTTACAGAAATGCTGCTTTTTATTAATGTCTGTCATAAGAATACTAGATTCTGCCATTCAACTCTAGAATTGACTCTGCAATGTTTTCTAAATTTTCCTTGCTAGAACTCATTGAATTTCAGGCTCTCTGAAATATAGATTTACAAAGTGTATGTATGCATGTATTTAACTGCACATAAAAGGCAGTGGGAGGTGTCTTGTGGTGTTTTGTCTAGCAGTTTTTTTGTTGTGTGTTTTTTTTTTAACTGTGGGCACTGCAGAGCTGCATTTTCTTTTCACAGTAGATCAGAGATTCAGGCTGGGAGGGCAGTGTTTCTTTTTGTCATTGTCAACCTTTCTTTGTATTTAATAACTACCTTTCCTCAGTGTAGTAAGCTTGTAAATCGCACAAAAAGTACTGTGTTCGAAGAAAACAAGACATTGCATATATTATTTGCTGATCCTTCTGTGTAGATGCAGGTTTTTTGTGGGATGATTTAGAGGAAAGTACTGGGTAAATTAAATGGGCTGAGTGTGGTGGCCTACCTTATTATTTAATTAAATAGCATAATATTTTCATAGATTTTTTTTTCTCCCTTACCCTTGCAAGGCAGTAGGAAATATGTGATTGTGTTGTTTATTGCAGTTGTCTGGTATCACCTCTAACTGGTCTGTTGTTCCAGTAGTTGAATGAGAAAACTGTTGATGGGGGTTAGCCTAATATTTGTTAAGGCTACAGTGATACGTCCCTTTGCTGATATCAGTACTTTATTAACAATTTGTAACCTTTTATTTATGCAGATTTTGTAACATATACACTATACTAACATAATTATGCAGAAGATTTAGATGAAAAGTAATAGATTCTGATGTGATCGATGTTAGGAAGTTAAGACTGCCATCTACTGATTTATTCTTTTAAATCAATCTGCTTCCAGAAAAGTGTATGAGCAGGTTATGTTTTTATCACTGATTCAGTTTGATTGATAGTAGTGTATATGCAAGAATATTTGAAGTGTGACTATAAGCAAAAAAAGTCTATCTCATGAGCCTTTTCAAAGTAGGTTTTAGGGGTCCATCAACACACAAACTACAGGATCGAAAACATTTATTAGGAGCAATTTTTAAGGGTATACTACCATGTTGTACTAAAGTAAAGTAAATCCTTTAAATCCTTAGATAAGCTGTAGCTCTAGAAAATGGAGTCCTATCACTCCTTATAGAAGTTAATTGTTGTTTGTCTTAGGCAGCTGCTGCAAACCAAAATGCAGCCTGTAAACAAAGAACATATTTAAAGTTTTAAAGTTTAAGTACTGCATATGTCACTTTGTGGTGCTTGTAGAAAAATTAGTGAATTTGTGTCGAATGTTACTTAAAACTAACGTTATTCCCTAATGCTGATCTTCTATGTCCATTCTAACTATGTAAGAAAGCAATGGTGTGTCTACACTGCAGGGCTTACCTCGAAATAAGGTATGCAAATTGAGCTACATCAATTGCGTATCTTAGTTCAAAATAGATTATTTTGAAATAGGGAGCATCTACATAGCACTTATTTCAAAATAGAGCACTCTTCCTCCGACTTCACTTATTCCTCATACAATAAAGCTGCGTCTACACTGGCACGATCTTGCACAAAAACTTGCTGCCTGTCTACACTGGCCGCGTGTTCTTGCACAAGTAAACTGATGTTCTTCTAATGTATGAAATCAGGGCTTCTTGCACCAGAACTCTGATGCTACCGCTCAGGAATAAGCCCTTTTGCACAACTGTTCTTGCGCAAGAGGCCAGTGTAGACAGGCAACATGAATTTCTTGTGCAAGAAAGCCCTATGGTTAAAATGGCCATCAGACCTTTCTTGTGCAAGAGAGCGTCTACACTGGCATGGATGCTCTTGCGCAAAAGCACATGCCAGTGTAGACGCTCTCTTCTGGAAGAGTTTTTGCATAAGAATTCTGCAAAAGAGTTCTTGCGCAAGATCATGCCAATGTAGACGTAGCCTACGGGTTACAGGAGTCGAAGTAAGAAGTCCTCCAGCTTGACAATATTTTGACACTAATTTGAAATACCTGCCTGCTTAGATGCAGAGTAAGTTATTTTGGAATAGCGCTAGTTATTTTGAAATAGTGTTGCAGTGTAGATGTGCCCTAATAGAAAAACATATATTTTTGATTAGTACCTTATTATTTTGGCAAAGAAAAGTTGTGTGTATATATTGAATAAGTCACCTAAGTAGTGGCAACACTTGGCTGTGGTGTGTATCAATGTTTTGCTTAGATGTCTACCTATGTCTTTTATTTCATAGACAAGGTGGGTGAGGTAGTATCTTTTATTGAAGCACATTTGGTTGGGGGTAAAAGACAAGTGGTCAAGCTTATACATTTTATTTAGTTCATTTTGGGAATTCTGACACTTTAAAAGGTTGTTACCAAATTTACTTTAGTTATCAAATAATGTGATTGTTCCATGTGAATAAATATACTTCATCAAATGTACAAGATAAACTTTTGTAGAGGAGACATCCAAGCTCAGTCCGCTTTTAGTGCACCGCAAAGAAGGAAATATCGGACTGTCAATCATTCATTTGTATACTTCATGGGAGAGTGGTAGTGAGTTAGGAGGCTAAAAATACTCGTGAAAATGCTGAATGATCCATTGTGTGAACAAATATTCCAAGTCCCTGCCTCCTTTACCACTATTTCTGGTTTCACTTGATACGGAAAGGGAATCCAATTATCCTCTATATAGCCAGTTTAAGCAGAAGTATTAAGATATTCAGTTGCATAAGCGTACCTTCCGCAGTCAGTGCTGGATCCAGCTCTCCATCCAGAACCGCACTGAGTTCAAAGGAAGTTCCATGTGTTGAAAAACAGGAATGTTGGGCTCTTTATAAAAGTAATATTTTTGTATAGTTAAAAAAAAATGCTTCCTAATGACTTTCTCTATTTCTGTAGGCTTGTTACCACAGCTTATAGGTGTTGCTCCAGAAAAGGCCATTAAGCTTACAGTAAGTTTCCCTGCTTCTAAATTAATTCTGTATTTTATTAATTTTTTGTCTAGATAGTAAAAAAAGGAGTCAATTTTCCTGGCATTCCCATGTTTGTAGGAACAGCTGGACTTTGTTTTCTTTAATGCATGAATGATGAGCATTTACTAATATTACAATACTTTTGGTTACAAAAGTATGTATGTAATGTGTTGATCAGAAAAAAAGTTCAAGTAGAAAACTGTAATATATCAATTGTATATTTTCATTAGGTTAATGATTTTGTCAGAGACAAATTCACTCAAAGAGATGGTTCCATTCAACTATTTGCAGAGATCCTGGCTGGAAGTTGTGTAAGTATCAGCCCTGTTTAATTAAAAAAAAAAAAAAGAGAGAGAGAGAGAGAGAATTCCCACCTTCTCACTGCCAAGTCAGAGTAAGAGATCGTGTAATGTATCTACCATGACATCAGGCAATACCATCCTATTCCACACAGAAACCTAGGAAAAGTTACTGAAACTCTGTGGTTCTCCATGTGGAGTACCCAAGGGATTGTATGCTTGTTTCAGTGCTTTCCATGTGAGTAAGTGGACAGGAAGTATAGAGTGAGAATCGTACAGTTCCCCAAGATCTGTTCACATGCCCTCTTCCAGTCTCATGAATCATGGGGCAGCTCATCATTGTGGAATCAAGGTACTTCTGCATTGTTCCTTCTTCCCACCCCATCAGCACAGTTAACATGAGATTTGCTGTTGTTGCTGACCTGGCCAAAGCTGCATATTCTTCTACCCCTCTTCATTGTTATCTTCAGAGATAAAGTGAATAATTCTGTCAGCAGCACTGATGCTGAGTGAATCTTATACTACATAATCTGCTTTGTGGAGTGCCTGCTTATATACTGCCCCTATCTTTGACCATAATTTCCCAGCTCAGTCAGGCCAAATCCCAGGATGTGGTGTTTGCAGGAGAGGCTTCTATGGTGTCATAGATAGGGTGCTCCTCCTTCCTCTCCACATTTATTGGCACATTTGGATGGTATTTATACTTTGTATGAAGGGGATGATATAGCTCATTGTCAGTAATCATTTAGAATACAAAAGAGGATCAGCATCAAATTTCTTTGATCTTTCCAGAAAAAGTCCCACAGAATGGGTTTTAAAAACTGACGAAAATAGTACAGTTCCTTCTGAAAATCTCAGAACATCATAAAACCTATGCCTTAACTTGGTATCGTCTGTTTAAAAACAATGACGACAATTCTTAGTAAATTGTTTACGTAAATGTAAGGAGATTGAATAACAGTGTATATTGACTTTGAGCTAACAGATCTGAGGGAGTTGTTTGTTTAAATTCCTTTATACAAAATTTTAGAGCTATTTTACTCCAGCTTTTAACTAAAAGCAGCATGTAAATGTAGTAAAAATACAAATTGAATTTATTCTGGAAATGAAGTCTATAATTTGGTAGTTTTTTTGGCAATCTGTATTTGGTTTGCATTTATAATGACAACAGACTTTGGTATTTGTAACTTAGCTAATTTCATTTGTGGGATTTCCCAACATTTGGTAACAGTATAGAATGTTTAAAGCTGGTTAGGGATTCTTTTGTAGCAGCGAACCCTAATAACTTCCAGCTGGATAGTCTGACAGGCTGGAATAAAACCTCTTCAGCTTGCTACAAAACCTGGGGCAATAAGATTGTTGACCTCTGCAAGATTTTAATTCAAAGAAGAAGCCCTAAAGGAAGGCTACTTATAGTTCTCCCTTGATTAGATGTGGCATTACAGTAACTACCTGAGTCTTCACCTGTGAGTTTACAAAATTTACTTTCAAGGAAATGGGAAAAAGAGACTGTGAAATATAGCTAGCAAAAATCATCCACAAACAATAACCTTTTTCTTGAAGGCTCAGTCATACAAATGGTATTTGCAGAGGCATTTTTCTTTCCTGGGATGTGTTAAGTTGAAAATATTTGTAATATATTCATAATTTTCATGTGTGAGAGAAATCTGATAATCAGATTTATTGCGTTTAGATCCCTTTGTTCCAAAATGTTTCTTACATAGTAAAACCTACATTAAAGGCCATGCCTATTTCTGATAGGTAAGCCCCTATCTGAAGGATTTTTTTTTATCATATTTTAAGTGAAAATCTAAAAATTTGAGAGTTTCATTTTGAAAATTTGATAAGTTTTTCAACCATATAATGGTTCAAAAATTCAGAAGCTTCTCTTAAATTGAGGACTTCCCACATTGCTGTACAAACACAACTATCTCCTCCAACTGGCTGTCTTCTTGGCAATTACTTTCTTGAGATGTGGGCATTGGCCTACTATTCCTCCTCTCTGGTGAATTATGGTACATCTAGTAGTCCTGCTTCTCCCTTTTGGCATCTTTAGGGGAAGATGGCAGTTGTTCTGCCCCTCCCCTCCATTCATTTTTAGGAGAGACAGACAGCAGGCCTCTTGCCTTCATGTCAGCTACTTCAAATACCACATTTTCTTCCTTGTAGCCTCTGTGGGACACATGATAGCTGTCTGCACTGTTGCTTCACACCATTTCAGCGTCTTTTATTCTTTGCAACTAGTGTTGAATGCAGGACACACTACTGGGAACTCATTCAAACCTAAAGTAGAAAATTGACAGGTTTTAGGTGGTTGAAACAATACCAGTGACTCTCAGTGCCTCCCTCTACATATTCAGTACCTCTTCCATATGGACCCTGTGCCAAGTGTGGTAGGGCAGGAGAATTCAAAATGAAGATATTCAGAGTAGTTGTGCTGGCTGAAAGTGAAACACTGCTGCATACACTTGATAAATCCCATCCTGAACCTTGGTTCTTTACCCTCAGTGTGCATGTCATCTGCTTGGGGTACAGAGTGAAGTTTTTCTCACTTCTGGTATTTACATATGTAACCCTTCTGCCGGGTAGGCCTGGCAGTAACCAGGGCTGGGTTCAATATCTTGGGGTCAATCTCAAAGAACTGGCTCGAGCCCCCACCCAGTAATCTGGGAAATTCACGCACCTCTGGGCGCCTCTGAGAGGCAGTGCTTCCCCACTCACAAGCACTGAGTCTGAGTGTAGGAAAGAAACATTTAATGAAACAGAGAGAGAATTCATACGGCATTAACTTGGGGAAAACACCACAAACAGAGTTCATAACCCAAACATGAACCAAGCCCCCAACCCCAGCCAAGAATCGCCCAAAGTCCAAAAAGTCTGACACCCCAAAAGTCTCTGTCCCTGGTCTGTGCCACCCAGAGTCCCAAAGTTCACCCACAGGGTTTCACCTCCCAGCCTGGGTAGAAATGGGGGTGGGGGGATAGATAGGGGGTACCTTATACGAAACTCCGCCACGCTCCACCAGCTGTCTCGTTCCACGCCTCTGGACACTCCACTGGGCACCTGCCCCCACTCCTCACCTGCTGCCACACCACTGGTCATCACTCCTCACCTGCCCCTGCTCCACCCCACG